TCTCAGTATTGAGCTTTCAGTATATTAAAACCCTCAGATTTTTATCCATTAAAATAAAAGTACATTGCATTTGGAGACCAAGAGGTCATTGATGACCTTGGAGAGAGCAGTTTCAATAGAGGAGTGCCAGCAGAAGTGAGATTGCAAAGAGTAAGAAAGGAAAAAGCACTGACTTTTTCCACTGACGATAACTATTCTTTCTAGAAGTTTAACAGTGATAGGGAAGCGATATACAGCAAGGTCAAATTATGTTTTTTTTAAAGAACAGGAGAATCTCGAACATGTTTGTAGGCACTGGGGAAGGAACTAACATATGTATGTACATATCGATAGGTGTGGATATATGTACGTATCCCCATATATAGACATACTCACATATATCTGCCTATTTGTACACATACATATACACCCATGGAGCAGGGTCCTAGAGGAGATCAAAGAGTGGTTGTGGAATCAAATGCACAAACCGAGGGACTAGCCTCAGCAGAGAAGAAGACTGCCTCACTCTCTGAGATTGAAGCCAATGAGGAAGGGATGGTAGGTGAAGATACAGAGAGGTTCTGAGTTTTGGAGGAGGAAGGATGTGGAGGGTCAGATGAATGGCATCAGTTTCATCAAAGTAGGAGGTGAGGCCCTTTGTGGGGGTAGACTTAGGAGGCTGAGGATAGAGAGTTTTGAAACAGCTGCTGTGGTAAGCGTAGTAGGGGCCTATGAGAGGTAAAGAAATGATTTTCCATCTAATTAGGAAGGCCTACTTGAAGCTATATTGTGTGAATTTATAGTGGATCAAGTCTGCAGTGACTTTTCCAGTAATATTTGCTGGAAGAGAGATAGAAGATGGTGAGGTCACCAGAATCATGAGGTTAGATAGTAAAAAGATCAGCCACTTAGCTCAGCTCGTGCCTAAATTGACTGGTTGTTCGGTCCTGCCTGGAAAGATTTGGTTTTTTTTTTTTTCCAGTTTGTAAGGACTTGCATGTGGTACAGGTTTATGAATCTATGCATTGAGACTTCAGAATTCAGAAGATTTTCACATTCTAATGAAAAACCTCCAGCAGAGAAATGGGCAGGCCATGCCCATGCTGGAAAAAGCTTGGTGTCTGACCATTTCCATTCCAAGCCCATTTCTGGTGGTTAATAAATTGACTACAAATCTCCATTTACCATCATTAAGCAGTTGGCTGGGTACTGCAAGAAATCATGAAGATGGAGCTCTCTGTCTTTTTTTGCCTTCTAAGATAGTAATTCATTTTCTGGTTATCAGGATAAGAAGCCCATTTACTTTGCTTGTGTCCTTGGGTTTGCCAATCATTTTGCAGCCAGATCAGCAGAAAGAAGAGGCTCTCCATCAGTAAGTGAATATCAGGGATGGTATAGTGAAAAGATTACTGCCTCGGCTATCCAAAATTCTGGATGCTAGTCCTAGCTGTGGGTCCTTCAGCTCCTCCTTAAGGTGCCTTCCAGCTCTGATGGTCTATGTCTTAATATCCATTCCAATTCTAACTTTCAGTGGTTCCTGTCTGTATATCAAAGAGGCAGCCTACAGAGAATCAGGAGCTTTCAGGGAAAGCAGTCACTAAGTCAAAACCATGGGAAGAAGCAATAAAGTCAGTAATTAATGGTTGGGGAAATGAAAGGGAAACCATAGACTTGTCAAATTCCCAGAGTACCCTGATAATTCCATCAGTGCCCAGGAGTGTTAAGCTAGAGGAAACTCCAAAGAAAGCTTTCCCTTTCTGCCCAGGAACACAAAGTCTTTGCGGTGTCTCTTGAAGTAAGGTTGATATTTGTAACACAAGACCTAGACGTACCAAAAATAGCCAAGCATGCAGCTGAGAAAACAAGGAATTTCCCTTCTGTCATATCTGGGCATATTTTTCAACATCATTGGCTGGCATTCCTGCCTCCATGAAACCATCCACATTCAGCAGAGCCCAGTACATATAGGTGGCTTCACTTTGCACAGTAGGTATGTTCCTATATATTGGCCTGTTTTAAATGTGCCAAAGTGTACAAACTTTCTGCAAAGTGCATAATCACCCCTTCCTTTATCTGTTTGCATTACAGTGTTAAGAACTGTAAGGGACCTTAAAGAAAGATGATCTAAGCCAAACCCGTCATTCTTCAGATGAAGAAACTGAAGGCCACAGAGGTTAAGTGATTTGACTAAAGTCATACAGGGAGTAGTCAGTGGCTTTTTTCCTAACCCCACCCCCACCCCAGTAAGTCTGCTGCTATCCCCAGGATCTTTGTTTTATCAGATTTCTTTTAAGCAAGAGTATACAAATGTGAGTGAGTGTGGTACAGTGGAAAGAACACCAGAGAACCTGGATTCAGATTCTGTCTTGTCACCCACTATGTATGTGGCCTAGGGGAGGTCATTTAAACTCTCTGGCCCTCAGTTTCCTTATCTGTAAAGTAAGTATCACCAGTCAGCATCCTCCAAGTTTCCTTCCAATTCTAAATCTGTATTATGATCCTGAGTATTAGCATGGAAATGGAGAATCTTTGAAGCTCAGAACTAAGCACATAGTAGGTACTGACTTCCCGCCTGCCTGATTTCATCCAGATTGAAAGCCTTGAGGCAGAGTCAATGTGGTCTTGTCCTGCTTGGGGGATGTGAGGGAAGTAGGCTGGAGGAGAACCTCCTCCCCCCTGTCCCTAGTGAATCACTGCTTTCCATGCCAAGAGAACTAGCCTCATTTTCCATAGTTGCATTAAGCTTATTTGATGCAGATTAAACCCATACTCTGTCCTTGGCTCCAATTTGAAAATTGTCAAGGTCTCTTTGTCAATAATATGATGATGAAGGCTCCCTTTTTGCTTTTCACTAAGAGGGGGAGATGATACCCTCCATGATGGCGAGACTACTTTTCTGATCTTTTCTCGGTTTCTTCAGAATTGCAGTTGGAATAAATAGCACCAACTAAAGCACCTAGGTGGCACAGTGGGTAGAACATTGGGCCTAAAGTCAAGACAGACCTGAGTTCAAATTTGACCTCAGACAATTGCTAGCTATGTGACCTTGGGCAGGTCATTTCACGCCTGTCTGCCTCAGTTTCCCCTAGGGATAATAACAGCACCTACCTCCCAGGATTATCGTAAGGCTTAAGTGAGCTAATATTTCTGTGCTTAGCACAGTGCCTGGCACTTAATAAATACTTGTTTCCTTTCTTACAGTGCCTTTCTAGCACAACACATTTGGTGGACATCTAACTTTTAGTGGCATCTTTGGACTTCTGCTGAAACCATGCTTTTTACTTTCTTCATAAAGTTGTATTATGCAGCTTGCTTGATAGACTTAGAATGGAAGGGGATATAGTTGGCACGGACATGTAAGTCAGAAGGTAAACCCTGAAAGAAATATTTCTAAAGTAACGTCCAATCTCTACTCTCAACAATGCCCTCTTTTATGTGATATTTAGATTATAGAATGGTAGAGGTCTCATGGACCTTAGAGATCACCTTAATCTTTTTTGTTTTGTTTTGTTTTTTACTTTTTCAAGGAATAAGCTTTCTTGATGAGCTTTTGTTTTCACATTACAGTCATTCCCCTCCTCTCCCTATGGCATCCCCACCCCAAAACACACACCTGCTGACATAGTAACTACATTTAAGCATAGGCAACATTTCACACCCATAGCCACCCATCTATTGAAAGGAAGGTGGTGTGTTTTGTCATTTCAGAGTTTGTTTATTAGTTCAACGCTTTCATTAGTGAGGAAACTAATACCCAAAGAGGTTGTGATCTGTCAAAGAACACACAGGTGTTGAATAGCAGACCCTTGTTTTCTTGACTCCACATCTAGCACTCTTTGTACTCCGATTGATGGGCAAGGGAGCTTCTCTCCCTCTCCTTCTACCCCGAGGTGCAGTCGTCCTTTCCTCAATCCCAGAGGCACAGATGGGGCCTAGAGCAGGGTCTCTCACTGCCCGATGCATGGGTCATATAACTGTCCTGGACCTGGTGATAGATTTCCATATTTCCATTGGCATCCTGAGGTGCAAGAGCCAAATCTCCCACCATAGCAGGGAGAGTTCTATCCTTACTTTATTGATGCCAGGTGGCAGAAGCTGCCAGGTGTTCCATGTGTGGTTGGGTTCATTAGGATGTGTGTGGAGTTTATAATCAGAATTAGGAGTGAAAAATCTGCTTTGAAGATGGCAGTCATGGCTCTACATGTTTTGTTTTGTTTTTGTTTGGTTGGGTTTTTTTTGTTTTTTGGTGAGGCAGTCGGGGTTAAGTGACTTGCCCAGGCCACACAGCTAGTAAATGTCGAGTGTCTGAGGCTAGATTTGAACTCAGGTCCTCCTGACTCCAAGGCCCAAGCTCTATCCATTGTACCACCTAGCTGCCTTGATTTTTATTTATTTATTTATTCATTCATTCATTTGGTAAGGCACTTGGGGTTAAGTGACTTGCCCAGAATCACATAGCTAGTGAGTGCTATGTGTCTGAGGCCAGATTTGAACTCAGGTCCTTCTGACTCCAGAGCCAGTGTTCTATCCACTGCACCACCTAGCTGCCCCTCAGCCCTACATTCTCAAAGGGGATTTGGATTTATTTGGTAGCCCAACAAGATACAAAGAACACTGGATGTGGAGTGAGAAGACTTAGGCACAGAATCCCAACCGTGATATTCTTGTGACTACAACCTCTCTGAGCCTCATATAGAGTATCAATGACATTTGGGCTCTTTGTCCCCTTTGTAAACTTTAAAGTTCTATAGGAATGTGAGTCACTATCATTTAAGCAAAAGTATAACCCTGTAGACATGAACAACGATCTGGAGGGTCTCACGCAATCATCCTGTCCTATGAGAAAAGCCTTTTCTCCTTCACTGTTGGCCTCAGTCCAGTAGAATGATACCATGTGGAGTTAGAATGTGGAGTTTTGCCATATAGGATCTCCACTTCCAGCCCCTGGCCTCCACTGGGAAAAGGTCCTTTCTTTTCATTTTAACTGCCTGAGTTAACTTCTGCCCTCTGTTTGTCCACAGGCTCTTATCCTTCACCAGCTAGGCCGATACAGTTTAGCAGAGAAGATTCTCCGTGATGCAGTCCAGGTGAACTCGACAGCCCATGAGGTCTGGAATGGCCTTGGCGAGGTCCTCCAAGCTCAGGGCAATGATACTGCTGCTACTGAGTGCTTCCTGACTGCGCTGGAGCTGGAGGCCAGCAGCCCCATTGTCCCATTTACCATCATTCCCCGAGTGCTCTGAGTGGGGTTTGGCCTACCGCAACGTCTGGAGGTGAGGCCAAGGACACACTTAACAGACGCCAGTGTAACCACACTATGTGGTTGGGGGTAGGAGGGAACCTCAGTCCCTGAGGAGATTGGGGTTAACAGAACGGAAGGGGAAAACACTTGATAGTTTTTGCCAGGGGGAGGAATTTAATGAATCACTGAGGCTGTAGACAAATGTTAGATCAACCAAGACGACAAACCAAACTAAAATCATGCTCAATTCATGTGTTTTTTTGGGGTTTTTTTGTTGTTGTTTTTGCCTCATAGTAGTTTTCAATTCTAATGATGTTGTTCAAAATGGATTATGTGCCATATTTTGTTAGATGACATCTGAGTGCTGTATAAAATGATTACGGAATCAATCAGCAAATGTAGAATAAGATATTCAAAGTGAAAATTCAGTGGCAGAACAGATTATTTTTAGCAAACCTGTCATGAAAACTGTTCCCTCTTTCCCACTATTACCCTGACTCCTACCCTTGGCCCAGAAACCAAATGTGACATTTCTGCTTCCTGTCTCAGTACTAGTCAAAGCCAGAAGACCGGCTGATGAGTTCTTGGTTTTGTTGTCAATAATTATAATGCGTGGCTGATAATTGTCTTTATTTAGAACAAAGCCTGAGTCCAAGAATATTTATATTTTACCAATATATGCCTGTTACCAGAGAAGGAAATATGAGTTATTTAAGTTTAACTTTTTTATGTGAATTCAGAGTTTATTTATCAATGGAAATATGTAAAAAGAAAAAAAAGAAGCTTCAAATGGAATATTTACCAACATTCCTTATACATTACCTACACTTGGCTAAATGGAAAGATGATGTTAATAATAAAATGATTTTTAAATGGAGTCTGGGCCTGTGTTATCTCTTAAGAGGTTGAGTGGTACTCAGAGCTCTGTTCGTGGGATTCAGTAGGCGACGATGGCTCGGCAGAAGTTCAACAGCTTGCCTGGGGCCTGTCAAGGCTACATGTTAGCTACCACCTTGAGTAAGCATAGCCTCTGTCACTGAAGGCCCAGGGCGAAGGGGAAGGGTGGGCTACTCCCCCCAAGGGTGAAGAAAGAGACCTGTGTCCTCTGTTTTCCTCTGACCTTAATTCTGTGCTGCCTGGGTGACCAAACGATCATAGATTAAAAATTAGAAGGGTACAGAAATATTTATAATGTCTCTTTTCATAGTAGCCCCAAATTGGAAACTATTGGGGTGGTTTATTGAGTCATGGCTAAATAAATTGTGGTATATAAATGTAATGAAATATTATTATGCCTTACGAAATATTTAAATGGACAGTTTCAGTGGAAACTGAGAAGGCCGCTGAACCAAAGCAGAGTGAAGTGAGCAGAAAGAGAACAATTTATACAGTGATCATAACATTGTAGAGAAAAACAACTTTTAAAGGTTTTAGAACTCTGATTAATGCATTGATAAGCTACAAGTCTAAAAGAATGACCCTCATCTCCTGAGGAGTGAAGAACTTAAAATGCAGAAAGAGACATCCATTCTTGCACAAGGTTAATGGGGGAATTTGTTTTGCTAAACTACACAGGGGGCTTTATTAGGGTTTTTAAAATGTTTTTGCTCAATGCAGAAGTGGGATGGACAGCTTAATTTTTAAAAAATACTAAATAAGATTTTAAAATCCATCATTTGTATAAAAAAGAAGAAAAAAGAGTTGGAAGGGACCTCATAGGTCATCTGGTCCAGCTTCCTCGTTTTACATTATATAGAGAAGGAAGCAGGCCCAAAGACATTACATCACTTGCCCGAGGTCATACAAAACCTTATGGTAGAACAAAGATTTTAACTTAAGCCCTCTGACTTTCACTATCTCTTGCTGCCATTCAATAAAGATTGGTGGCTTGACATTTATGGGGTGATTTAAGGTACACTCTATGGGGTACATCTGTATTTCCTTCTCCCACCTGCCTTGTGCTAACGTGGGAAATTCCACCATTATAGATGCATTTGTTTGGCTTAAGATATTAATGTTAAAATAATAGTATATGCATTGGGATGTAGGGGCACTCCATTAACGCCCTGCTCAGATGCCTCATCATGGTGTTGGATGTGAATCTGGGTTCCTACAGCCATGGCAGAAGAACAGAAAGCTTTGGCCAGATCCTACCTACCAACTACGAAAGACTCCAAATGTGAGCCCAGAGACAGAACAGATCTCTCTCCTCCAAGGACAAGTCCAACTATGCTTTAATAGATGATCTCCATGCTGCTTCTGGGTTCTGCGGAATACAGGAGAAGGTTGTGGGACAAGAGAGAAAGACCTTTGAGGCAGATGAGGAGAAGAAAATCATGTAAGTGCCTTAAAGAGACTTGGATTAGTGATATAGGTCAGAAATAGAACTTGAGGAGGAGAAATTAGGTGAAATTTGGGAGAAATTCAGGAAAATTTGAAGGAGAATAATTTTCAGATCCAGATACCAGATCAGGTCCATATTGTATGTCTACAATCCCAGTCGAGGATGGTTAAGGAAGATTTTGAAAGATTAAGATCGATTAGACGCAAGGGTGGGGAACCTGTCTGTGGCCTCCAGGCCGCAGGTTCCTCACCCCTGGATTAGAGTGTAGAGCCTGAAAAGGGAAGTAGAAACCCAAGCAGAAAAAAGAAGATAGTCAGTGAAGTAAGTCAAGTAAGAAAAGTTAAGAAAAGGAACAATTAGAAGATAAAGCAGATTGATAAGATTGGTGGGTAGGGGACACTAGTCAGTCCAGTCAATTAACATTTATTGAGGCGGCTGGTGGTACAGTGGGATAGAGTGCTGGGACGGTAGTCAGGAAGATCAAATCTGACCTCAGACACTTACTAGCTGAGTGGCCCCTGGACAAGTCATTTAATCTCTCTTTGCCTCAGTTTTCTCAGCTGTAAAGTGGGGAGAATGACAACACCTACCTCCTGGAATTGTTGTGAGGATTCAAGTCAGATAATATTTGTGACGTGCTTAGCACAGTGCCTGGCACGTGGTAGGTGCTTTATAAATGCTTATTCTCTTCCCTTTCTTTAAATGTGCGCCAGTCACTGTTACGGGGTTGGGACTAATAAAGGAAGCTGATAGGAACTGTCAGGTTATGAAGAGGCGATCATTGAGTATAATAAAGTTTTAATTAGGTGCCTAGGGTTGATAAGTGAATACCCACACATTATTTTTAAAAGACTTAATTAAAAGTCTTAATATGGAGAGTCAGGAAAATTGGGCTGTGCCTTGCATTGGACATATGGTGTTTGTATTTCTGCCATAGTTGATGACTTTAATCTATATTCCAAATTCTGATAGCAGTGAGGCGGCTAAGCGGATACAGCACTGGACCTAGTGTTAGGAAGTTAGCCAGTCTGTCTTTTTTTTTTTCCAGTCTTGTCCAATTCTTCCTGACCCCATTTGGGGTTTTCTTGGCAAAGACACTAGAATAGTTTACCATTTCTTTCTCCAGCTCATTTTACAGATGAGGAAACTGAGGCAAACAGCTTGGAAGCGATGTGCCCAGGTCACACAGCTAGTAAGCATCTGAGGCTGGATTAGAACTCAGGTCCTCCTGACTCCAGGCCCAGTGCTGTATGCATTGAGCCACCTAGCTGCCCTCTGGTATCAGAGAGACCCAAGTTCAACTGCGGCCTCAGACATTTACTAGCTGTGTAGTCCTGGGCAAAGTCACCTAACCCATACCTGCCTCAGTTTCCTCATCTTTAAAGTGGGGATAATAATAGTATCTACCTCCCAGGGGTTTTGAGGATCAAATGAGACAATATTTGTTAAATACTTAGCATCGTGCCAGGTACATAGTAAACATTTAATAAATGCCTCTTTCCTTCCTTTCTTTCTTTCTTCCTTTCTTTCCTTTCCGTCATTTATTCCTTACTGTAATCCATCCTCCACCCAGCTAACAAAGTGATTTTCCTGAAACAGAGGTCTAACCATGTCATCACCTTCACTTAAACTTCAGAGACCCTCAGCTGACCTCTGACACAGAAGATAAATTCTTCTGTGTGACATTTAAAACTCTCCATAGCCTGGCCCATTTCCATCTTGCCCATCTTGCATATTATTTCCTTCCACATTACTCCTTCATTCCAGCTGTACTGACCTCATAATACAAGATGCTCTCCACACCTTTCCCCTGGCTGTCTCCCATCCTTTCATTGCTCTCCTGGAATGCCTGGCTTCCTTCAAAACTCAGCTCAAATGGCGCCTGCTGCAGGAGGCCTTTCCCAGGTCCCCTCCGATGCCAGTGTCTTACCCCCTAAGCTTACCTTCCATTGACTTTTTATGTATCTTCTATGTGCCTATTTATATACATATTGTGTCCCCCCTTAGAATATCCGCTCCTTAGAGGTAAGGCTTATTTTTTTCTCCCCAGCACTTAGCACAGTGCCCAGTACGTAGCAGGCATTAATAAGTGTTTGTTGATCACCCGATTGTCAGCAGATCTCCTTCTTGGAGGGGAAAGAGAAGAGAATTGAAGAATGCCTTTCCACACTCCAGACTGTTAGACTAAATGAAGTGTTTTGAAAGGAAATGGAAGTAGAGCTTCCATGGGAAAGAAGAGGAAGAGGGATAGAGGAGAGAAGACTTGAATCTTGTCAGAAGGCTGGAGAGAGGGGCAGCTAGGTGGCGCAGTGGATAGAGCACCGGCCCTGAAGTCAGGAGGACCTGAGTTCAGATCCGACCTCAGACCAAACACTTAACACTTGCTAGCTGTGTGACCCTGGGCAAGTTACTTAACCCCAATTACCTTAAAAAAAGAAAAAGCTTCTTTTGAAAAGTGAACAGCTGCCTAAGAGGGTATCAGAATGGGATTTGGACTTCTGGACCCTAGCTTAAAGTATAGTAACGGATATCTAATAAGGGCTGGTAAGAATATATTTGCTGGATGTCTAACAAAACTGTTCAAAAAGGTTTTGAACTAAAACACATTAGAAGGGGAAAGGGAAGGAAGGCTAATGATATATTGCTATAGTTCTAGAGATGTAGATGTCCCCCGCCAAGAGGCACATAGGTAGCACAGTGGATAGAGCAGTGAGCCTGGCTGTAGTCAGGAAGACCCGAATTCAAATGCAGCCTCCAACTCTTACTAGCTATATGACCCTGGGCAAGTCATGTAACCTCTGTTTGCCTAAGTTTCCTCAACTGCAAAATGGGGACGATAAGAGCACCTACCTCCCAGGATTGTTGTGAGGATCAAATGAAGTAATGTTTCTAAAGTGCTTAGCACAGTACCTGGCAGATAGTAGGAGCTAAATAAATGCTTGTTTTCTTCTATTCTTCCATGTTAAATATCATAGGGAGTATATAAAGTAGCCGCAAAAAAATGAGAATACCACCATTTTAGCCACCCAGAAGTTCACAGGACACAAAAATCAAAGGGCCAGTAGCAAAACCCAGGGCCTCAAATATCTGTATACAAAAGCCAAAGTTTAGGTAACAAAAATAAAAGTTAACACAAGGAGATAAATTTAACTTGATGTGTTATCACTAAGACTTGGTATAAGACATGTATAGACCATTAGTCCTGGATGGATATACCTTATTTAAAAGAAACAGGACAGATAAGGGGTTGGAGTAGTATATAATAAAGAGGGCATACCCATGAGGAAATCCAAGAAATAGAATGGAGGTAGAGGGTGGAGAACATGATTGAATATTTGCTTAAAAGTCAGTAGAAAGGAAGAAAGAAAGAAAGAAAGAAAGGTCAATGGAAAAACAGAGGTGGTTTTGTTATTGCATTATACTACAAACCACCTTGACAGAAAGAGGAAATAGATGAGTTCAAACAGATGACAAGCCTAACATTTAGAGAGGTATTATATAATAGTGCTTGGAGACTTCAGTTATCCAAACAT